CAGTTCAGGAAACTTAAATGACGCCACTTCCTTACTGAATGAATCAGAAGAAGTGGGAACAAATATCTGCCTACTCTGAGCGCCTACTGAATACTGCACGGATAGTAGGTACTGTCTACTGCCTACTGACAGATTGAGTGGGTACTTGGCAATTCAGATACAGCCATAATACAGACTTTAAAATGTATATCTGTGAAACACAAAGACTCAGCTGCCTTCAGGACAGCGACGTCTGGTGGCCGACTTACAGTACTACAGCTCTCTGAACATCAGCGCTTCCTCTCGAGTGTTCAGATGAAGACTGTGTGGTTATTGTCTTCACAGACATGACAGCGCGCTGATGAGTAACAGCACAGGCATAGGAAGAGTGTGTGTGTGTGTTTACCGTGACGTTAGAGCCAGCACATGGCTGTTGCAGGCGTCGTCTCGATCTTCCCAACTATCCTCTCTCCTCCTCCCTCTCTCCTCCATCCAGCTGAGAGGAGCTCTGCCTCGATCTAAACACACTCCCTAACACACACACACACACACACACACACACACAGAGAGAGAGAGAGGTGAGAGAGAGATGATGGAGAGGATAAAAGTTAGATGAGGTGGAAGGAGAGAAGGACATGAGGAAGAGAGGACGAGCAAGAGGAGGATGGGTGGAGGATGATTAGTGATGAAGAAGAAGATGACAGGCGGATAGGAGAGGCAGATTAAAGGCGAGGAAGACGAGGAGAGCAGGGTGAGGAAGACGAGGAAGACGAGGAGAGCAGGCGGGAAGACGAGGAGAGCGGGGCGAGTAAGATGAGGAGAGCACGGTGAGGTAGACGAGGAGAGCAGGGCGAGGAAGACGAGGAGAGCAGGGTGAGGAAGACGAGGAGAGCGGGGCGAGTAAGATGAGGAGAGCACGGTGAGGTAGACGAGGAGAGCAGGGCGAAGAAGATGAAGAGAGCAGGGTGAGGAAGATGAAGAGAGCACGGAGTGGACGATTTTCAGACCCCGCCCATCTTTGACCTTTAATTTAACCTTTAAAGGTCATATCTAGATTTTGATTGGTAGTTCGGAGTCTTCACATTATTAAAGATGATTATTTCAACATTTTTCAGGAAAACAAAACACGCCATGCTTAAATATCCTGTGGATATCTGTGACTCTGTGAGCACACACACACACACACACACACACACACACACACACACACACACACACACACACACACACACACACACACACACACACACACACACACACACACACACACACACACACACACACACACACACACACACACACACACACACACACACACACACACCTCACTTTGACCACGATGTTTTGGAGGTGATGAAACGGACACCTGCAAACGACCTCCTACCTTCGCCTTCTTCTCCTCCTCCTCCTTCTCCAGCTCGGCGATCCTCAGGCTCAGAGCCTCCCAGTGCATGATGGGAAGGCCCAGGTTGTCCTCGCCGTATCCTTCCTGCCACACCATGGCTGCTCCTTCTGAACCTTCCTCCTCCTCCTCCTCCTCCTCCTCCACCTCCTCGTTCTCCTCCTCATCAGAGATCCTGTCGTCCTCCGCCTCGTTGCTCTCCTTCTCCTCCCTCTGATGCTCCTTCTCTCCCTCCATCTTTACGCCGACTCTGTTGGAGACATGAGTACAGAGAGTTGGTGTCGTTCAGTTTATTTTTCTGTTAAACTACACGTATCATTGATAGAATGACAAATATTCTCATTATAGCGTCGTGTAGAGGACTCTGCTGCTTCCACGTCGTTCTTTTTTACTTCACGTCTTACCTCAGAGACCCCGCCCCCCTCCGGTCTGACAGGGATGGTCGAACAGGTCATGTTCAAACAGGTCAGGAGGATTTCAGGAGAAGTCCTCCTGAAGTTGTTTGGATATTTTCAGGAGTGTTTGTGTGGAAACAGCTTCAGTTTCAGAGGAACAATAATAATTGTCTGTGTGTGTGTGTGTGTGTTTCAGCATGTTGAAAACAGAGAGTTACATTAAATCTTCCCCTAAGTGATTAATAATTAATATCTTCATTTGAACAATTCTCTTAAATCTGGAGGAGCGTTTATTGGAAGTCTTATGGTACTTTGATTTAACGCTCTGATCTGTGTTTGATCTTTTGCTTTTATTTTGAAGGGAACAAGAATTATAATTATTATAACTGGCCTTTGATCAACTTTCACTCTTTGTTGAGACACTTTTCATTTTTTTTTTTAAAGTTTTACAAAGTGTAATCTCGTTTCGAGCTCTCCTCTCGGCCCTGCCCTGAACTCAAACTCTGACCGAGCAGCGGCTGAATCGATTAATCGACCAGACTCCTGTGATTGATCGGTGTGTGTGTGTGTGTGTGTGTGTGTGTGTGTGTGTATGTGTGTGTGTGTGTGTAGTAGAGTCACTCACCTGTCTCTCAGGTGTTTGGATTTCAGCTCGTTTTCAGAGAGAACAAACTCAAAGTTTTGCCACATATCTGTTTCTCCTCTCAGCTCCTCCTCCTCCTCCTCCCCCGTCCATCACGATTTCTCCCCAAACTCTTCCCTCTCAACCCGCCTAAAGGAGCTCAAAACTCCGAACTGTGGACCCCGTGTGGTTCCGTGTAGACCCGTGAAGACCTGACCCGGGTCAGTCCAGATAGCTCGGGTTAAAGGCTGCTCTCCTCTCTCCGTCTTTGTCCTCCTCTAACTTCGTCTTCAGACTTCAGAACAAAAGATCCAAACTTCAGGAATTTCACAGGAACAAGTGAAAAACAGAGACTGTAACCTTGAGACTTCCGGTCCTCACCTTCAAAATAAAAGCCTCCCTGTGCTCTATATGGATCCGTTTATTTTGGTAGAAAGAAACCTCTTCTTCCTTTTTCCGGTCTGAGTTTACAAGTTTTAGAAGAAGTCAAAAATATGATTTATATCGTTTTACGTGAAATAATCTTAAATGAAATAAACTTTAAGAATATACTGGAGAGGAAACGCGAGGTCTGCACCAGGAGGAAGTGAAGCACTCTCAGCTTAATACATGACAAACCTTCAAAATAAAAGCATTCCTCTTTTTTTATTTAATTTTTTTAACTCATATTTTTAAGGCAAGGAAGTGTTCGGAGGAGGGGGAAGGGGGGCGTCATGAGGAAAAGGGATTCAAACCCACAGCCTCCTCAACAAGGACTATGACCTCTGTACACGGGCGCCAACATAACTGTTATGCATCCGATGCCCCCACCATTTTCATTTTTAAATGTGTGTGTTTGTGTCATTAAAAATGGAATAAAATAAAGTTTATTTAAAGTATTTTAAGTTGTTCTTAAAAATTCAAACAGTCAGTGATGTAGACAGATAACGACCACCAGGGGGCAGCATGACGCCACAGACAGACAGAGACCTCAGCGTTTGAATCGCAGAAGCTCTCATGATTACTTTCATAATCAAGACATTATTTAAATTAATCAGCTTTAATTTATTTTAACGTCTGACCTGCTGAACACAAAGTTTTAGTCTGTTTCCTGAAACGCTTCCCCTGAGGTCGAACTCTTCTTCTACTGAATGACCAGTGGCCTTTTTACACAGTGATCAATATTTAAAATATCTTTAATTAAAATACAGAAAGTTACTGAAAACATCTGAGTCTACAAAACTGACGAGTCGGAATATCATCATGGATATTTAAAAGATGCTTCCTGATAGGATTGTGTCTCTGTGTGTGTTTCTGTGTGTGTCTGAGTGTGTGTGTGTTTCTGTGTGTGTCTCTGTGTGTGTTTCTGTGTGTGTGTGATGGTGAAAGAAAGTGCTCACACATTCTGAAGCAGCAGGTTTCTTTATTTCTGTTGCTTGAGCTTTACAAAGTCAGCATTCATGACACACGGAGACGCAGGGCGAGCTACAGAAGCCGAACAGGACGAGTGAGTGAAGAAGACAACGATGAGGAAGAGGAGCAACTCATCACACCAACAAAGAAGAAGAAGAAGAAAGAGGTTTATGGCACTCAGAATAATATATTGCTTTGAAAACACAGCCTCTATCCGTCATCATTGTTTGATCACCACAGCTTTAAATATCAAATATATTCTTCATGACGTTATTGCTAACAGACACTAAAGGAGAGAGAACGCTCGTACAAACTTTACACAAAATAACAGTCCAAGTTTGGCAGGATATACTTCAGGACATGCAGGGATCTGATAGGAGGGAGGCCGGGAGGGGTGGGGCTTAAGCAAGGGGGGGGGGGGGGGGACTATCCCATTGGATGAGAGGAGCCGTCACTCACACAGCCAGTCACACATGCACACATTCTCCACAGGTGTGTTTGAGACGTCAGGTACAATCCTTATCATCCATGTTGAGTTCAATAAAGCTAAACTACACAAGACCCACTGCCGCACATGCCAACAGAGACGCTTCAGCCAATCACAGCGCAGATTCACTTCAGCCCCAGAGTTCACACACATACATGCACACACGCGCATACACACACACACACACACAGATATTAAGGTGGTAAAAACAGAAGCGAACAAACGGAGCGAGCGCCTTCATACAAAAGTCCATTTAAAAAATGATCGTTTTAAGGAGACACCCAAAAGTCCTCAAACATTAAAACATATTCCCTCACGAGCTACACCTGAACGGTGGGACTCACCTGACCTACAGGTCGGCTCTAACATGACGTCTTTATTTTACATGAAGCTGTAAATATTTCAGTTTCTGTGACACGGGCAGGAAACTCATAATTCTACATCCTGTTTCGAAATGAAATTAGACAGTTTTGGATGCAGGTTTTGTTCTGAGGCCTCACAGACTGTTCAGAGTGTTTTCCTCGATCTCAGACAAGAAGATGTCGAGTTCAACAGGACTATGTTTGCAAAGTCAGAGCTGAGTTCAGAGCTGAGTTCAGATCGAGCTCCGTGTTCTCGTGCTAAAGATCTCGACTGAATCATCTCGTGACCTCCAGATAACGACGAGATGACCTCGTTCATTCAGTCGCTGTCTCAAAGTCTGGAGAGGTTAACTCGGCCATGAGGGAAAAGCACAGTTTCAAATGAACAACGAGAGAAACTACACAGAGTCAAATAAAAGGTGTGGCTGTTTGTCTGCTGAGGGCTTCCTTACACAAACACGCCGAACGGCGAGGATCTAAACGCACAACACGGCGTGTTTCAGGACTTCCTGGACTCTGCAGAGTCCCCATGAAGCTCACCTCAGTTTCTGCACTTTTCTGTCTGTGTTTTAAATAAAGTTCAATAAAAACGTTCACAGCAGACATCTCAGTCTTTTCAAAATAAAATGACATAAAGGCGGTTAACGCGCATGAACATATCTCTTTAGTGTCTGGTGTTTTACGGTCACTTCCTGTTTGTCGTGTAAATCTTAAACTTTGGAATAAAAGAATAAAAATAAAATAACTAACCCTAACTCCTGATTTTGTTTTATTTACGAGCTTTTATTTTGGTGACTCTGCTGACTGAAAACTGTGACCCTGTTTATTCAGGGGGAGGGGTCCAGTCGATGATTGTTCCTGCAGGATTTTATACTTTATAAATATCAGTAACTTTAATTTAACATGTGAAAATAAATATCTCAAACATCCGGAGTGCTGAGCGTCATTTTATTTTCAAAATCACTTTTTAGCTTCAGCCTTCCTCAGAGTTACGTAACCATCATTTCTCCGCCTGTCTTTTCATCTCTCTGTCACATCTCCACCTCTATCTCCATCCTCCATCTCCCCCTCGCCTTCCCCCCTCCCTCTTCATCCATCCCTCACCCCTTGCCTTCCCCCCTCCCTCTTCATCCATCCATCCCTCACCTCCTCCTTGCTTCCTCCATCTCTCCCCTTTCCTCCCCCCTCGCATCCTCCATCTCCCCCCTTTCCTCCCCCCTCGCCTCCTCCTCCATTTTCCATCATCCCTCCATCCTTCACGTCCTGTTGGCTGAGCCAGCGCTCTGTCACTTTACCCTGCACTGAGTGAATTACTCGCCCTCCATTAGGCTAACGAGAACGCAGAGGACGGAGGGGGGAGGAGGGGGTAGAGAGAGGTGAGAGAGAGATGATGGAGAGGATAAAAGTTAGATGAGGTGGAAGGAGAGAAGGACATGAGGAAGAGAGGACGAGCAAGAGGAGGATGGGTGGAGGACGATTAGTGATGAAGAAGAAGATGACAGGCGGATAGGAGAGGCAGATTAAAGGCGAGGAAGACGAGGAGAGCAGGGTGAGGAAGACGAGGAAGACGAGGAGAGCAGGGCGGGGAAGACGAAGAGAGCGGGGCGAGTAAGATGAGGAGAGCACGGTGAGGTAGACGAGGAGAGCAGGGCGAAGAAGATGAAGAGAGCAGGGTGAGGAAGATGAAGAGAGCACGGAGTGGACGATTTTCAGACCCCGCCCATCTTTGACCTTTAATTTAACCTTTAAAGGTCATATCTAGATTTTGATTGGTAGTTCGGAGTCTTCACATTATTAAAGATGATTATTTCAACATTTTTCAGGAAAACAAAACACGCCATGCTAAAATATCCTGTGGATATCTGTGACTCTGTGAGCGAACACACACACACACACACACACACACACACACACACACACACACACACACACACACACACACACACACACACACACACACACACACACACACACACACACACACACACACACACACACACACACACACACACACACACACACACACACACACACACACACAGCAAAGTGAAGCAGAACACCCGGTGTTATGGAATTAGTGGTCATCAACCAGACAGAGACTGAAGGACGGAAACAAAAACCCTGATATGTCGAAAAGAAGGAATCGTCTGAAACAGAAGATGAGTTTATGAGACCCACACACACACGTCGTCATCACACACACACGCACACGCACACGCCCGAGGTAATGACAGATCTCTGACAGTCGTGACATTACTTCCCTCCACAGCCCTTGGACAGACACACATAGACACGGGCTGAATAAATAGAATAAATTAAATAAATACACGTCAGTTTGAACTCAAACAACGAATGAAGTCACACTTCACTGTGAGGGGGCGGGGCTATGGAGGGGAATGACCGCTCACTCTGCCCTCCCTCGTCGCTCTCTCTCTCTGTGGGCGGGGTGAAAAGGGCGGGGCTCAGAGGTCGGTGCAGCGCTCCTGCTTGCTGTAGTGATCGAACTGACTCTTCCAGTGCATCATGTAGGAGGACCAGCGGTGAAACTCCACCTTCCACTGGCGCTCGGCCTCGTCGATGTTATCTGACAGGACACACACAGGAGGGGGGGGGGCATTTAGACAGGTGGACACGTCATCGTGTTTATCTGTTACAGTCATGAACAGTCAGAGTTTCAAACTTCCATATGATTCTAGATGTTGTGTGATGTTTATGTGGTGCGCACTCTAGAGGAATCCTCCAGTACTACGCGTTGCTTCTCATGGGGGAACTTAATTTACATTAGCATGCCAGCTAACCATAAGGAATACGTTTAAACCTTTAACAGACGACCATGAGTTAAATATTCAGGTGGTGCTTTAACAACAGGTTCATGTCTGTTAAAAGCTGGTCTTTGTTTTTTAGATGCAGTGTTTACCAGTGATGTTGAGGAGGCGTGGCAGAAAGCGGTTCCAGAAAGCACACATCTGGTTCCTCAGGCCTCTGTGGATCTTCAGAGGTTCAGTGTTCAGACCGACGTGCTTCTGCTCGCTCAGCGTGAACACGGGCCAACGCTTCTTACTCTCCACCGGGCCGTCATGGTTCACATTGGGGTTCCTGCAGAGACGCCGTTAGAACAGCGAGGAGTCAAACAACCAGTGAGACAGAATTAAAGATGTTTTCTTTCAGAGTCAATAATAACTCAAAAGTTAACCCGTACCCTTCAGCTAACCAGCATCACCAGCTTGAAACATAAACCTCCCTCATAAACAAACGTACGAGCAGCGCACAACATGTAGAAGCCATGACTACTAAGAGACTACTAACTGACTTACACACAAACCAAATAACTTAACTAACAAACCGTCTTAACCAATCAACCAACCAACCAACCAACCAACCGTCTTAACAAACCAACCAACCAATCAACTAACCATCTTAACCAATCAACCAACCGTCTTAACCAACCGTCTTAACAAATCGACCAACCAATCAACCAACCAATTAACCATCTTAACCAATCAACCAACCGTCTTAACCAACCAACCAACCAACCATCTTAACCAACCACCTTAACAAACCAACCAACCAATCAACCATCTAAACCAATCAACACAATCAACCAACCATCTTAACCAACCGTCTTAACAAATCAACCAACCAATCAACCAACCAATTAACCATCTTAACCAATCAACCAACCGTCTTAACCAACCGTCTTAACCAACCAACCAACCATCTTAACCAACCACCTTAACAAACCAACCAACCAATCAACCATCTAAACCAATCAACACAACCAACCAACCGTCTTAACCAACCAACCAACCATCTTAACCAACCACCTTAACAAACCAACCAACCAATCAACCATCTAAACCAATCAACACAACCAACCAACCGTCTTAACAATCAACCAACCGTCTTAACAAACCAACCAACCATCTTAACAAACCAACCAACCAATCAACCAACCAACCAACCATCTTAACCAACCAACCATCTTAACAAACCAACCAACTTAACCAACCAACCAACCGTCTTAACAATCAACCAACCGTCTTAACCAACCAGCCAACCAACCAACCGTCTCAACCAACCAACCAGCCAACTTACTCATTCACTAACAGCCAAACTGCAGATATTTGGTCTTTTTTAATCAGTGTGAAAATGAGATTAACTTAAAGGTCTAAAAACTGTGGTGAGGCCATGTTGGTCATATATGTCATGTATAATCCAGGTTATAGACTGAATGCTAAGTAAAGAGGTTTAAAGCCTGATGATGAAATGTTTGAGTTCTGATACATCTTAAACTGCGTGTGTGTTTCAGTATAGAGTCTGACATCAGCCCTCTGCAACAGAGTCATCACTCACTGCTCTGACATCATTAGATTAAAAGCTTTAATGATTCTCTCCATGCTGCACAGAGACACATCTCATTTATCAACAGAGATGTTTGAGGCTGCAGGAGGATTTCATGTTGGATTCAGATTCAATATTTGCTATGTGGTTCTGACCCTGTGCGAGCGAAGTTGGCCCAGTATTTCATCATGCGTCGGCTCAGCTTCTCCTCGTCCAGCGTGTAGTTCAGTCTCTTCTCCAGCGGGAGGCCGAACACAAACTCGATCTCGTATCCGTGGATCACTCCCATCCACTCGGGCCAGGCCAGGTTAGACGCCCGGTGGTCAAACAGGTACAGGTAGACGCCTCCTGGAGGAGGAGGAGGAGGAGGAGGAGTTAATTATGGCTCAGAGATGGACTGACACCAGCATACCTAGACATGATCTTACCCTGTGAGTTTCCTCCGCTGTTCATCCCCCCGCCCGCTCCCCCTGTGTTGGCCTTCATGGCGTTGTGCTGGGCATAGGAGCGAGCAAAGTGAGCAAGTGGGCAGATGACATTATGGTCACCAACGATGTCGTCCATGGCATCGCGGTTCTTCAACCCATTGTTCTCGTCCATCCAGTCGGTGTACTGCAGCACCACAGACTCCAGACCGATGTCGTTAGCATGAGGAACGCTCAGCTTCACACCTGCAAGAGGAAGGGTTAAAAAGTGAATATAAACATTAAACAACCAGAACACATCACCATCATCTACACCTGAACACATCATCATACTCTGGACCTAAACACATCGTAATCATCTGCACCTGAATGCATCACCATCATCTGCACCTGAATGCATCGTAATCCTCTGCACCTGAACACATCATCATACTCTGCACCTGAACACATCATCATCATCATCTGCACCTAAATGCACCATCATCCTCTGCACCTGAAATCATCATCATCCTAATATCATCATACTCTGTACCTGAACACATCATCATCCTCTGCACCTGAACACATAATCATAATATGCACCTGGACACATCATCATCATCCTCTGCTCCTGAACACATCATCATACTCTGTACCGCAACACATCGTAATCATCTGCACCTGAACACATCATCATCATCATCATATGCACCTAAATGCATCATCATCCTCTGAACCTGGACACATCATCATCATCCTCTGCTCCTGAACACATCATCATACTCTGTACCTCAACACATCGTAATCATCTGCACCTGAACACATCATCATCATATGCACCTAAATGCATCATCATCCTCTGCACCTGAACACATCATCATCATCTGTACCTGAACACATCATCATCATCAGTACCTGAACACATCATCATCCTCTGCACCTAAATGCATCATCATCCTCTGCACCTGAACACATCATCATCATCACCTGTACATCAACACATCATCATAATCTGTACCTGAACACATCATCATCCTCTGCACCTGAACACATCATCAACCTAATATCATCATACTCTGTACCTGAACACATCATCATCCTCATATCATCATCCTCTGAACCTGAACACATCATCATCCTCTGCTCCTGAACACATCATCATACTCTGTACCTCAACACATCGTAATCATCTGCACCTGAACACATCATCATCATATGCACCTAAATGCATCATCATCCTCTGCACCTGAACACATCATCATCATCTGTACCTGAACACATCATCATCATCAGTACCTGAACACATCATCATCCTCTGCACCTAAATGCATCATCATCCTCTGCACCTGAACACATCATCATCATCACCTGTACATCAACACATCATCATAATCTGTACCTGAACACATCATCATCCTCTGCACCTGAACACATCATCAACCTAATATCATCATACTCTGTACCTGAACACATCATCATCCTCATATCATCATCCTCTGAACCTGAACACATCATCATCCTCTGTACCTGAACACATCATCATCCTCTGCACCTGAACACATCATCATCATATGCACCTGGACACATCATCATCATATGCACCTGGACACATCATCATCCTCTGTACCTGAACACATCATACTCTGCACCTGAACACATCATCATCCTCTGCACCTAAACACATCATCATACTCTGCACCTGAACACATCATCATCCTCTGCACCTGAACACATCATCATACTCGTCCTCTGTACCTGAACACAAAAAGATAAATAAAACTAATCAAACCAGAGATCAGGGAGTGCAGAAGCTCCCATGTTCTGTTAAGTTATGAACTGGTTTACTGGTTTGAGGCCGGTGGCTTTAAAAGAGGCGACGTAACGTTTGTTTCTGGTTAAATAAAGAGATCTTACTCTGGTTTTTATGACTGCAGAATCAATCTTTGGTCTCTATTTAACGAGCTTTTGTGTAACTCTGTTGGACTCAAGCAGGCTTTTCTCTGATCCTCCTTCACCTTCCAGGAAGTCTTCTCTGGAGATGAGGCTCTCGTTGTCCTTGCTGAAGCCTGGCGCTCCGTACAACAGGAAGTAGGATCCCTCGTCCTGGTTGACCCCGAGCAGCACCTGAGTGTCTTTAAAGTTTCCTGAGCTCAGCATGGCCTCTGGCGTGTCAGGGAGAACCTCGCCATCGACCACAGGGACGAATGAGAACCTGAAGAGGGCTGACCACGGCAGGACCTGATCAGAGAAGGAGGACAGGGAATCAATGAGATTAAAAACCAGAATGACCTTTTCATGTGAGTCGAGTGGATCCTCAGCGTACTGTGCAATCGGGTCTTTACTCTGCGTTACCTGCCACTCCTGGTCGATGAGCTCCTGGGGGGTTTTGCTCCTCAGACAGTCCACCAGCTCTGTGTCGTTGCCGCCGTTACAGCCGACCAGTTTGCCCAACAGCGTGGCTCGTCTGCGGGCCTCTGCGGGGCTGACCGAGGCCCAGGGGCAGTTGGGGACCCCACTCTGAAGGATGGCCCGGGTGAAGGTGGGCCGGCTGTCTGGAGACAGGAGGTGGTACCCGACTGAAGCTCCACCCGCGCTCTCTCCAAAGATGGTCACCTGATAAAGATCACACACAGAGGTTTAAAATGATCTGAGAAATAAAAGGAGGACTAAATCAGTCACAAACGGACCTGTTTGGGGTTTCCTCCAAAGAAGTGGATGTTGTCTTGGACCCACTGCAGCGCCATCCTCTGGTCAAGCAGACCTACGTTTCCAGGAGCCTCTGAGGAGCCGTGCAGGGCGAGGAAGCCGAACGCACCGATCCGATAGTTCATGGAGACCACGATGACCGTCTCACTGTGAGCCAGGTAGCGACCGTCGTACACGTCCAGAGAAGAAGAGCCGCTGTAGAATCCTGTCAGATAGATCAGAAGTGTTATTTTTTTCTCACACAAAAAAAATCAGGCAGGTGATTCAAACTCAGAGAGATTTTTTAGAGAGATTTTCAGACTGTGGAGCAGGTGTGCTGCTGAACATCCTGTGTGTGTGGAACAAAAAGCTCAGTGTGTTGACCTTGCTGATGTCTGACCATCTTTCTAAGACTTTTTCTAAATATCAGGAACATACTGCCCCACTGACTTTAGACCAGGCGCCCTCAAGATAGGACCTGTCTCACTGAACACACCTCAGTCTAAGACAAACCCCCCTGCTGGGCGCTAACGGGGGTGCAAGTTAAAAAAAACGACCGTGTCAGGAGGGAAATACACCTCGGCTGAGACACTTCGTGCCATGTATACGTTAGGGTACAAACAGGAAGTCATTTTCAAACACGATTAATGCTGCCACCCAAAACAAATGAAACAATTGAACCCGGCTTTAAAGAGGTCATATTTGGCCGTTTTTGGGGTTCGTATATTTAATCTATGTACCTACTTTTGTACGTTCACTATAGCTAAAGTCCGAAAAAAGAGTCTGTTTTCATGTACTGCTCTTCCTTGCTCCCTCTAAGCTCTGAGTCCGTCAGCTACGCTCTGTTGAGCCCACACTGTTAGACCCCACGTGGGCCAAGTCTGCTCTGATTGGTCTGCCAATCCCCTCTTTCGTTATTGGTCAGTTGCTCAGCACACGTCTCGGAAATTGCAACATGAGCTGCAGGGCTTTCCACAACGAGCCAATGGGCTTAGATCAGTGATCTCACACTGACAATGACGCCGCACTGAAATCTTTTTCGAGGGGGGCTAGAACCGAGCGTTACATGCAGCTAATGCTACAGCTAACAGGAGGATGTAGGAGAAGCCGCGTTTCCGCGGACTTTGAATTTTTGCACACAGATGTGCCTAAACATGCACAGGACACTTGGAAAACACACTAAAGAGCATATAAAACCAGAAGAAGCATAATATGGGACCTTTAAAACTACTACAATGTTCCTTGAATGCATCTTGTTTGTTTGTTATTGTGTGTTTGTTCGTTATTGTGAGTGTTGTGTGTTTGTTTGCTGTTGTGTGTTTGTTTGTTGTTGTTGTGTTTGTTGTTATTTGTTGTTCGTGAGCTTGTTGTTTGTTTGTTGTTGTTGTGTGTTTGTTGTTGTTCGTGAGCTTGTTGTGTGTTTGTTTGTTGTTGTTGTGTTTGTTGTTATTTGTTGTTCGTGAGCTTGTTGTTTGTTTGTTGTTGTTGTGTGTTTGTTGTTGTTCGTGAGCTTGTTGTGTGTTTGTTTGTTTTGTGTTTGTTTGTGTGTTGTTCATTGTTGTTTGTGTGTTTGTTGTTGTGTATTTGTTGTGTTTTTGTTTGTTGTTGTTCGTGAGCTTGTTATGTGTTTGTTTGTTTTGTGTTTGTGTGTTGTTCATTGTTGTTTGTGTTTTTTTGTTGTGTGTTTCTTGTATGTTTGTTTGTTGTTTGTCTGTTCGTCGTTGTTTGTTAGTTGTTGTCTGTTGTGTCTTTGTGTTGTTTGTTATCACAGCTGCTCAACTGAACGATTCAGTCATATTTGTTGTGTGTTTGTTTGTTGTTTGTTTGTTTGTTGTTGTGTGTTTGTTTGTTGTGTTTGTTTATTGTGTGTTTGTTTGACTCGATGAGTACCTCCTCCGTAGATCCACACCATGACGGTGAGGTTGTGCGGTCTTGGCGAGGAGGGCACCCACACGTTCAGGTACAGACAGTCCTCGCTCATCTGTCTGTTGGGGTTCCACATCTCGCTGCCCTGGAACCCGGGAAACGACGTGTCCACAAACTGGTAACAGGCGTTGGGGTATTCCATGGCGTCATACACCCCCGTCCACAGGCGCTTGGTTTCGGCACGCCGGAAACGCCGCTTTCCAACAGGAGGCTCGGCGAAGGGGATGCCCAGGAAGGAAGTGACGAAGCTGTGTTCAAGCACTGGCTGACGGAACCCACGGACTCGACCAGTACGAGTCATAACGGTGAGGTCTGACTCGCCCTGAGAGGAGCAGGAGGGGAGGAGGAGAGAGAGGAGGAGAAACGGGGAGAGGAGGAGGAGGATGGAGGCCTGCATGATGGAGGCGGTCGGCTTGGTCAAGATTCCCTCTCCGATCAGTCAGTGAGGGCGGGATGGGATCTGAGAGAGAGAGAAAAAGAGAGAGAGAGAGTAATGTGATTAGAGTGATGGAGACCAGACTCTGAGGAAACAGATGATGGACCTGATGTAGGAAGTCCTGGTCGTGTCTTTGTCTTTGAACAGTTCGGACGGGCAGAGGACTGAAATTCAAAACATTATTTTCAAAATATTAGTCAGACATCTATTATCTCCCAAGTTATCCTATTTTACTCATTCAAACATCATCTTCAAACATCATCTTTAAATGTTCTTGTGCTCAGTCTACACGGTTTTCTCTCTTTGATGCATGAATCTAAACATAGCGTCCTGTGGCATCCTGTCAGTACTTCTACTAACTCTAAATCTATGTGAGCATAAGTCTGAGCGTCAGAGTCAATAACAGACTCTTCACCTTCATTTATTCCCAAACTGAGGAGTGCACCCCTCAAGGGACATGTCATAGGAGGGTGTGGCAAGGCTAAACAAAGCAATGTACTCAATTGTGAATGGTTAACAAAGCATGGTCAGTGTGACAACTGCTGGTTTAACACAAGGCCGACATGAATCTACACCAACGTCACGATGATACAATATGACGAGTCAGATCCAAGCAGCAACCTCCGGTGATGAAAAAATTAATCCAAAAAACTGCAGTTCCTCCAATGTCCACTAGAGTCTGTCTCCTGCAGTGAGTCCCCATAGAGCCCCATGTTAAAATGTCCAACTTTACAGCTGCAGTTCCTCCAGTGTCCACTAGAGTCTGTATCCTGCTGATACAGATATAACAGATATAAGGATGATGATGTGTTCAGGTGCAGAGGATGATGATGTGTTCAGGTGCAGAGTATGATGATGTGTTCAGGTGCAGAGGAGGATGATGTGTTCAGGTACAGAGGATGATGATGTGTTCAGGTGCAGAGGATGATGATGTGTTCAGGTGCAGAGGAGGATGATGTGTTCAGGTGCAGAGGATGATGATGTGTTCAGTTGCAGAGGATGATGATGTGTTCAGGTGCAGAGGATGATGATGTGTTCAGGTGCAGAGGAGGATGATGTGTTCAGGTGCAGAGGATGATGATGCATTCAGTTGCAGAGGATGATGATGTGTTCAGGTGCAGAGGATGATGATGCATTCAGTTGCAGAGGATTATGATGTGTTCAGGAGCAGAGGATGATGATACGTCAAGATGCAGAGGATAATGATGTGTTCAGGTACAGAGGATGATGATGTGTTAAGGAGCAGAGAATGATAATGTGTTCATGTACAGATGATGATGATGTGTTAAGGAGCAGAGAATGATGATGTGTTAAGGAGCAGAGAATGATGATGTGTTCAGGTACAGAGGATGATGATGTGTTCAGGTACAGAGGATGATGATGTGTTAAGGAGCAGAGAATGATGATGTGTTCAGGTACAGAGGATGATGATGTGTTAAGGAGCAGAGAATGATGGTTTGTTCAGGTGCAGCAGATGTGTAGGCGGGCGTTAGTTTCCCAGAAAAGACTCATTAAATATTGAGCAGCAGTCTGTTCGAGTCATGCAGCTCCACATAACAGAGAAAAAAGAATATAGCTGCAGACGTTACAGACTGTTTAACCCTAACCCTTATCAATCATTCAGACTCAGACATGTGTTACAATGATGAAGGTTTGAAAGTAAACGCTCAATAATGACACAGACTCACTGTCAGAGGAAACATTTTCCTCTCTCAGCGCTCAGACGTGTTTAAACCCTCAGAGCTCAGCGACAAACCACAGGACAGGTGTGTGGTCATGAGGGGAACTATAAAAAGGCTTCAGAGTAAAAGCCTAGTAAATACCACACACACACACACACACAGTGACCCTGTGCACCATGTGTTTGTCCTCATTGTAAGAACCTTACAGCAGTTTGTAAGTCAGAGTTTCATGTCGATGTGGAGAGAAGAATCAGGGAGACGATCTTTGTTTTGTGAAATGGAGCACACATTCACAGGTAGATGATTCCACCCTGATGTTAATTTGATGCATTAAACCTTCGAGTCTCATCGTGTCAATCAATAAAATCTTTGTAAAATAAAAATGTTCATGAAAGGAAGGCAGAAACATTCTCACCCTGTGACAGCTGCTCAGATTAAAGACAGGGTTTTTATTTGGATCAAAGACTTGAGATTGAATAAACCTCCAGTCAGCGAGGCCACCATCTTTGGAAACGTGGCGTTACCCATACGTATTATATTTGGTTTGGTTTATTCCTCTCCTGCACACACGTCTTATGAAACAGACGTTACAGATAACAGATTATAGCGTTTTGTATTTTAAAATACGAGACAAATATACAAATATACTTTGTCAATAAGTTTTTGAGTTTACAAATAACTCTCAGTTTTCACACAGACACATGAAGCAGTGATGAGCTGGACGAGAACGTTAAGAGATATTTGTTTATATAAGACGACATGATGAAAAGAGTGAGTGTGTAGGAGGTCATTTTAGGCCTGTTTATGTGTGTGTGTGTGTGTGTGTGTGTGTGTGTGTGTGTGTGTGTGTGTGTGTGTGTGTGTGTGTGTGTGTGTGTGTGTGTGTGGTGTGTGTGTGTGTGTGTGTGTGTGCAAGGAAGGTTACATCACCAAAATAGACCCTCTATATCTCTATACAGTCGAGAGTGTTCACACACACACACACTCACACACACACAGCTGCCCCCCTATCCCTTACAGCACCTCCAAACTAATCCTGTTGCTATGACGACCATACATCACACAACATAAACAGCAGCCTCAAACAGACAG